GACACCCACAGCCCCACACACCTCACAGCCCCTCACGGATCTCCCCGTGTCCCTCTGCCCCGCGCACCCCACGGCCCTCAGCCCCGCGCCCCTCACGAATCCCGCAGCCGCCAGTGCCTCGCCCCTCAGTACTCGGAGCCCCTGAGCCCCACAAGAATGCCTCAGCCCCCCACAACCTCTCAAGCCCTACACAACTCACGGCTCCCCGAGCGCCTCTCAAGGGCACGGCAGCCATCAGTTCCCCGAACTTCACAGCCCCTCAGAGACACTACTGATAACTCGAGGGCCTCTCACAGATTTCACAGCCCCTCAGCCTCCATCTCCGACCCCACAGGCGCGCAACCCTCACGGATCCCACAAACCTCACTCCCGTGTATCTCACAGCCCCTGAGACCACCTCAGTCCTCCATGGATCCCTCAGCTCTGCATACCTTTAAGCCCACAACACCTCAGCCCTCACCCCCGCACGGACCCCACAGCTCCTCCAACCGCCTTAGCCCAGAGCGCTGCAGGCTCCGGCAACCCTTTCCGGACCCGCCTCCCACCCAGCCGGACGTACCGCACACAGTCCCCGGCCGCGCAAACCACCACAGCAGACGCAACACCTTGCGCCAGCCGAACAGCCAAGTACTGCCGCAGCCTTAATATTCAAGCCTCTCCCGCCTCCCCATTGGCCACGCCCTTCTCCCCGCCCCGCGTGATTGGGTCCGCCGTCCTGCGTCGCCCCGAAGCATCATGGGAAATGTAGTTTTCATCTCACCGGCGCCAGCCGGCGGGGAAAAATAAGTCATTTTAAAATGAATGCGCTCGCAGTTAGTCTCATCTGAAAGGCATACTCCTGTTCCTGCTCGCGTGTGTTCTCGCCCTTTCAATCTGCTAACCGCTGGTACTTGCTGACTCTCCACGTTATTTCTCTGTCTTAAATTCATCCCATCATTTTTTCTGAAGCACTCACTTCATGCAACTGGAGATGAGTTCTGCTTTGGTGTCACAAAAACCCCTCATCTTTTGGGCGAAAAATACATAGTTTGCCGCTCCCAGAAGTGTATGTGTTAATGTGATCCTCAGGCTCATAAACTACCTTCTCTCCAACAGCATTCCAAGAAACAACTTATTCGTCTGATAGGCTGCAGTAACACACAGGAGCCTGGAGTGACTGGAAGCGTTAAGGCCAGGTTGGACGGGGCTTGGAGCAACCGGGGATAGTGGAAGGTGTCCCTGTTCATGGCAGAGGGTGGAATGGAATGGGTTCAGGGTCCCTTCCCATCGGGAACATTCCATGATTTTATGAATATGTCATCACTGCTTCCAGTGCCGGAGCACGACCGGGAAGTAAGACAAGATTTTTCCTGCTCGTTGACAGGGCTGAGGGAAGAGCTCAGGAGAAACAACGGGGGCAGAGGGTGAGCGCCGGCAGAGGCCGCACGCCGACAGCCTGTCCTGCAGCACCCCCTCGTGTTCCTGCCGGGAACTGCAATGAGCCGGGACTGCCTGTTCGCCTCTCTGAGACCTGAGCTCTTCATCAAATCCAGCATCTGCAGGGTCTCAAGGCTACAGGTGTCCTGTTCCCCTCTGCATTAGTGTTATGTTTGCCCAATTATCCCATCAAAAAAACCAAACAATATTTAAAGTAGCAGCAATTTTAATTAAATAGTTTAGAAAATCTATAAATAAGGGATAATTTGGTTCAAATCATAGCGCATAAGCAAAAGATACCGCGGGGTACGGAGGGCAGAGTTCTGGGACCCTTGTCACCTCACGTACAAGCTTGCCAAGTGAAAGTCACCCCTTATATGCCATGTGTCAATACCATCTCCTCCCATTTTCGGTTCGTCACTTTTCTATCTCCACCCTCATTACCACCTTTACCACGCATGCGCCACCACTCGGTTTGGTGGTCGCACAAGTCTTTGGGGGTCGTCACTGATGAAGGCTCTGTAGTCTTCTTCGTTGTCCTTTAATTCACCTTTGGGTTACACATGCGCACCAAGCCAGTACAATGTAAGCCAAGACTAACATATCACTATATCTACATATCAAGGCAATAAATCCCTTATAATTAGCATTTTCTGGGACCCAACCAGGTTCTTTGCTCATTTTTAGCAACCGTATCTTCAGCTTCTTTCCTGTGGTCCTTGAGAACATCTGCTGGGAAGGGGGGGGTGGAGCCCCTCCTCTCCCTCTCTTCTTTGGCATTACAATTTTTAACTATTTTATTGTTCTCAAATATTAATTACTGTATCAATATTGATTACCGTTTCAATTTTTATCAGCACGAATCATACCTATTTATCACAATTAGGATCTGCAAACGCTGACGTATGAGGCAGCTGCAAAAAGAAATTGTCATGGACTTGGACAGGAATATCCTGCCAGGAACATAGATTAGCTGCCTGCTGTTGTTGGAAATGTGCTCAATGACAAAGATATTTGTCATAAAGAAAACTGAATGAGCAGAAAGCAGGGTTTTTTCACATCTGCCCTTGACTCACAGACTCTGGAGGCCTTTGTGATGCTTGTGACTAATGAAGTTTTTGTATGCACAGAAGAGACGAACTGTGATATAGTGTTGGTGGGACGTTGTTTCTGCATGAAATGGGCAAGAAACTCATGAGAGACCCAGGATTGGGGATGGCAGGAGGGGCGAGGCGGTGCCAGAGGGGCCCGGTCGATGCGAAAAATGCGTATTTTATGATTGGCTTTTGGCAAATATTAAAATTAATATTATATGTGTTGTGTTAGAAAGTGATGCTGTATTAATTCTCTTAAGTAGTGTTTTAAATATAGTTTTAGGTTATAACAAAATGTTAAGATAGAAACTATGCTATGTAGGATACTTTTTTCTAAAGAAAGGACTCGCACCGAGATAGCAGTCACAGGACACCTAAACCTTTCAGAGAAAGAGAATTTATTGTCCTATTATCAGGAGTAAGTAACTTCCCGCCTCGCTCAATCGGGACGACGCCGTTAGGATTAAGAGGAAGAAGTTGACGATGACCAGACAGAATGTATTTGAATGGAATTTATGCATCATGTGTGAGATGTACGAATATGCAACAGACTATTGTTTTTAAGGGTCAGTCCTCTGTTAACGTGTGTCCTTTTTCGAGCTTATGCTGCCCAGAAAAAGGTACCCGGACGTCCGTAACTCTGTTTCTATTGTCTCATATTGTCCTAATCCAAATTGTCCAAATTATTATAACTCTAATTGTATTACTCTTTTTATAACCATTTTATTACTATTAAACTTTTAAAAATTTTAAAAACAAGTGATTGGCGTTTTTCACAGTCGAGCTGTGCGGGGCTGTGATGTCAGTGTGCGTTTGTGCGTGTGTGACGGACAGCGACAATCGTCCCTCCCACGGCGGCGGAGACGGCCGCAAATGGAATCGGCAACGCCCAGGAGGGCGGCCCGGGCCGGAGGTGGCGGAACGGCTCGGACCCGGCTGCTGCCAGCACACAAAATGGCGGGTCCGGGCAGAACTCACGTGATACCACACCTAAGATGGCGGACCCTTACCGGAAGCGCCTTCTGCCAGCACACAAGATGGTGGAGTTCGGGCGGAACTCACGTGATACCACACATAAGATGGCAGGCCCTTACCGGAAGTGACTTTTGCCAGCACACAAGATGGCGGAGTTCGGGCGGAACTCACATCACCACACCTAACATGGCGGGTTAGGTGTATCGCGCCCTTTCCAATGTGGCGACGTTTCGCGCACGCGCTTTGAGTAGGGAGAAAATGGCGCCAAGAATGGACCCCATGCCCAGACAGGCGTCCTGGTGGGGACGGCGGTGTTGATCAGAGGCGCCGCGGGCAAGCGGGAGGCGGCGGCAGGCAGTGCCGGGGCAGCCTCTGTGCCGGTCGCTGAGGCGAGAGGCCCCCTGAGCGGGCACGGCACGGGCCCGGCTCTGAGGGAGCCACGCCGAACCCGAACCCCAAACCCCGGCCCTGCCCCGGTGAGCGGCCGGAGCGGCTGCTGCGTCAGGCCCCCGGGGAGATCGTTCGTGGCCTCAGCCTGGGGAAGACATGAAACGAGAAAATGATCGAGAAAATAACACAAACAGCCTCTTCTGGACATGGTGGTGTCGGTCAAAGGCTCTGTGTCAGCACAAGTCTGTAGAGCCCCTCTGAGGCAGACACTGCCCGAGGCCCCTACTCCGGGCAGAGATGGAGATTTACCTCTGGCTGTTATTCTGGGTCAGTGACAGTTTGTCCTGGTAATTGGTGCCGTTGAATGTCCTTGCTGCAATATTCCTTCACACAGGGTGCCCTGTGCCAGCACTTACAGCCCCTATGCTCAGGTGTGATTAATTAAGGTCTTTTAGTCCTTGTTATTAATCCAAGTAAATAATTTCTGTAATTTCTAGCAACATGCCTGGTCTGGTGCCCTTAATCCTGACAGGGTTGTACAGAGGTTTGATCACACCTCTAAATCAGTTTTTCTCCCCCAAAACCCAGTTATACTGACTGAGACCACACACAGGTGATGCCCTCGAACTCTTGGGTTAATGTTAATTCTTGCCAAATTATGAGGTTAAATTCCAGTGGATCTGTACCAAAACATAGAAGCCCTGAAGTACAAACAGCTGTGCTGCAGGACCTGGTGGCAATGCTGTGCCCCTGCCAGGACCTGTTCAGGTGTTCCAGTGGACCATCGGGTCCAACTGCTGCTTTTGTACAGCCTTGTCATGGTTTGCCCATGTATTTGAAACTCAGCTATCCAGGCCATAACACCCTTCCTATTGAATGTCAATCCCCAAACCCAAAAGGAAATGTGTGGTTTCAGAGCTTTTGCTGAGTTTCTCAGACTGTCAGTGACAAACCATTATGAGAACCCAGTGAAAGAGACAGACATGGATTTACAAAACCCAGTGAAAGAGACAGAGATGGATTTATAAGTATAACTTAACTATTTTAATAACTCTTGTACAGTGCATGGTTATATCATTGTCTCCTTCGCTCAGATACATCAATGTACAGTACTTTATAGCAGAGTCTGCAGGCAGTACAAACAGAACAGATGCACAGCTCAGTCGCATGGAAATTTGTAAAAGTGACCTCTGCAGTGAGGCCTGCTGAGAAGTTTGTTTTGGGAAGGGCTCCTGTGGCTCCCAGCTTTACAGAGCTGTCGTGTACACTCCTGTTAAAATGCCAGATAACTGTAATTCCCTGTGCTTTGCTTTCCTCTACACCCCAGGACAAGAAGGTGGGGTGTTTCCTAGCTCAACATTTGGTTTTATTTTCATTTTAGAAACTCTTTTGCCTCCTGTGCTTGCCATCCTGCTTCCCTTCATCCTCTTCCAGAGCCAGGGCTTCTCAGGAGGATTGTCCTCTTCATCCCTCCCTGACAAGGTGAGTGCCCTTCTCAGATCCCAGCAGGGCTGTGACCAAACCCAGGATCCCCCCCTGCCTGCACCCTGATTCTGCTGCTGCCAGCAGCGTCCTCTTTCAGATGAAGAAAACAGATTATCCATGGGAGACAGTCAGGAATAAAGCAAACCTGAGGTGCTCTGGTGCTCTCAGATCGAGACACGAGTTCCCCAACGCTGTGTTAAAGCTTTTCCCATTAAATGTGCAAGGACAGACACAAATTTGGGCAAAGACTGAGCAGTGCTGAGAGAGAAAAGCCAACTGTCCCTGGGCTGTGGGCAGGTCTGGAGCTGTGTTTGCTTCACTGCTTTGCAATCAGCTTGGTCTGTCAGGTAAACAGAGACAGAAATGCAGTGTGCCAAACTTGCTGTGGACAGGAAGTACGCTGCTAGCTTGAGTTTTGAAATTGTGAGTAAGTTTTGGAAGCATAATCACTAATTCTGCCTCCAGGGAGAGAGATTTTCCTCACCCCCTATTTACAGATTGTTATATAGAAATGCACATAACTTTATGAAGGAAAACAGGAAGTCAAGAGCAACACCCTGTGCTAAATTAGATTTTTTTTCCTTGTGCCCATTTTTTGGAGTTAAACCTGCCTTTCCCAGTGTGCTTTGGAGTTTCAGCTATTTGGGAATAACTTCAGCTGAGTTTCTACAGTGAAAAGCTGAAGGTGGGGACGAGTGACCAACACCCTGGGAAGGGCTGTGGGTGTGCCTGGGACAGGAGCAAATGGTCAGGGCTTATCTTCTCCTGGTCTGAGGCCGGGTTTGGCAGCCCCACAGCATTCCAGGGCAGGATCAGTGGCCCAGGGAAGGGCTGCACAGCTGCCCTGAGCCCAGGCCTGTGCATCAGCAGCAGTGGGCAGGTGGAGCTCACCCATGTCCACGTTCAGATCCCTTTGTTTGTCACTCCTGCTCCTTCCTAGGCACTGAGAGCTCATTTCAGCTGCTCAGAGACAGCACCAACTGGTCTGTGGATTTAGGGAAGCAACCAGACTTTGGGAATGTGTGTTGCCATTCCAGCCTTGTCCAGTGAGGGGCACAGGGGACAGGAGGGGGACAGGGAGTTGTCACCGGGCTGTGCTCGTGGGCTGCAGGGGACACCTGCCCTGAAGTGGGGCTGCCTTAGGCTGCCCCTCCCTGGCAGTGTCCAAGGCCAGGCTGGACAGGATTTGAACAACTTGGGCTTGGGAAAGGCGTCCCTGCCCGTGATGGGGGGGAACAGGATGAGCTTTAATGTCCTTTCCTTGAACCCAAAGCAGTGCAGGGTTGTTCCTGCAGCCTCATTTTCGGGGTGCAGGCTCCAGGCCCTGAGCTGGCCCCTCCTGAGCTGTGTGCCAGCCCTGCTCTGCCAGCCAGGGCTGGGAGCAGGGACAGCCCTTGGGGAAAAGCTCTGGGGTCTCTGTTTGAATCCAGCCCTTGTCGTCCATCCAGCCCCGCGGGAATCCTGCTCCGATCGCATGCACGGAAAATCTCAGTATAAAATACATAGTTATAAAAAAAATACTTCATGCAAAATTAAAACACCTTTCCCAGTGGGATATGGTCTTGTTGCCAACCCTTCCCCAGAGTGTTCAAGGAATTGTCACTCTGATGGCAGCTGGAGCCCAAGGGGAGCTCTGCTGCCTCCGGCCTGGGCCGGCAATCATTGCTTTCATTCCCTTTTTTCTGCACTACTGAGGGCTAAGAGCTGAAATAAAGCAGAGAGACTTTAATTAGCAGAATCAATCCTTTCCTGGCGGCGCTTCATGATCTCTTGGAGCTCTGACTCCCCTCTGCTTTTCTGGAATGGAAACAAAACAGCAAGTTTGGATTTGAACTTGAAGCTGTGGTTAAATTACAGTATTTAATGAATGCTGTGGGAGTAGGGCTAGTTTCAAAGGGATAGGTGATATCAGTAAAAAGCAGATTAATTAGTGGAAACAGGGAGATCTTATGGATTTGGGGCCTTCTAGCTTAAAAGAACTTCAGAATTTTTATGTGTATTTTATTGCTTGTGTAGGTTTGGTTGCATTCGTTTTTCCCCCAGTTGTGTTTCTTAAAATGTGTGTTTAATGAGCTATGTGCCACTGCTGGTACAGCCCCCCATTCCAGCAGGAATTGCCCAGAAAAACACTCACCTCCAGCTGGTTCTTCTCCACCGTGATCTTGCTGTACACTCTGTTCCCCTCATCACCACACACCTTCTTCAGCTCCTCTCTGTTGAGGGAGAAGAGCTGAGCTCCAGTGAGAATGCCCAGGTGTTCCACGGTCCTGGGGAGACACAAAGTGGGGGATGATGGTTGTGCTGCAGTGGCCTCGTGCCAGAGGTGAGGAGTGGGAGATGGGAGGCTGGGAGCTGCACTGGGGTCGTGTCACAGGCCCTGGGGCTGTGCCAGGCTGGCAGCTGTGATTCCAGTGGCATCTCAGGCCGTGGGTTTAGTTCGTGGATTGTTTTTCTCCAAGAAAATGTTTATAAGAAAGAAAGGGAGTGAGTTTGGGCTCTGGGTATGCTGGTTATAGAGCCTGGGTTTAATAGGGTTGCAATCTAATTTACAGCACAGGCTCTGTAGGTAAATCCCAGTGACTTGTCCCAGGTGAGATGGTGCCAGTGGCCTCCCCAGCTCCTTCTCCAGGGAAGGACGAGCGTTTCATGTGGTAACAGAGCAAATCTTACTCTTTGCTGAATGACTTGGCCTCCAGCCAGGCTTTGACTTCTTCAGTGCTGGATTCAAAGGTGAGGGGCACAAAAACTTGCTGAGGCTTTTCCACTTTGAAATTCCTGTGGGGAGGCTGAATTTTATTGTTTGTGATCTTCTTTAGCAGCTCGTCGTTCAGCTCATCCATTTGGTGAATAAGTTCTGCAGAAACAGGTAGGGAATGAAATCTTCAGTCAAAAATCCCATTAAATGTGTTGGTGGGGAAATTGTAAGGAAAATGGGGGTGTGCCCCACAATATTATTTAAATTCCGCCCAGAAAGGTGGTTCCCATTTTCCTGAGCCCAGTGTTGCCCTCCCATCACCCCTGGGCTGTTGCCTGGTGTGGAAGGACAGATGTGTGAGGATCTACAATTGGAGAGTTGGGATTGAGACCTTTTCTCCTCTCTGCTACTTCTAGTCAGTGATTTGCTGATCCCAGAGCTCCAGGTTTTGCTCCACAGTGGAACAGAAGTGGCAGGAAGCACAAACTGGGAGTGAGGAGCACACTCATGATGAGATGAGCTTGAAGGTCCCTGTGACTCTGGGAAAACTCCAGTGACACTTCATCCAGTGTCACTTTCCCCATGAAACTCCTGAGGACTGCAGAGAATAACTGGGTGTTTGAACAGATTGGTGTCCTTGTATTGAGGGGCTTTCCATCGTCACAAAAGGGCTCCTCCTTCCAAGAGTGGACAGGGTGGGATAAGGGCTGAGGAGAGTGGAGCCCCTGGTTTCTTTCCTGCTCTGTGACCCCCACAACATGTCCAGGGTGAAGGAGGGACGTGGATCTCCTGTTTGGCTGGGAATTCTGTGGAACCACATAAAGGAACCAGCCCGGCAGGCACTGCATGTGTGGCAGGATATGAGCAAAAGGAAAGGAGAGAAAGGGATTGACCTGAGCTCTTCCTTAGACACATTTAAATGCTTTGAAAGAGAAAGAAAACTCTCTCCTTGGGAGGAGGAGGAGGAAGGTCAAGCTGGAGGAAGGAGGAGTGGGGTGATCACTTATTGCCTTGCTTGTCCCGGGCTGCCCAAGAGCCTGGGAGGTGTCACAAGCTCCAGGGCTGCTCTCTTGGCTCTCGTCCTACCTGCAATGGCCTCCAGACCTGGTGCTGTTCTGTTTCTGATCACTGAAGGGTGCAGAGGAGCCCTTTGGGTAGGTCTGGTCCCCAGAGCACCCAAACCCAGGGGACCCCAGCGTGGGACACAGGGTGGGACACACACGTACGTTCTTTGGCGTCCTGGGTAGAGTTGCGTGATAACATCTCGCTGCCCCACTTATCCCCGGCGTAGCTGGCAGGCAGCTTGTGAGTTGGACTGGATGGGCCATAGCCCCTGGGGCTCAGGTCTCCTTTGTACCTCTGGTTAGACTGCTTAGAAAGGGGAGGGACAAAAAAAAAAAAAGTCAGATTTTTTTTCTGCCTTTTTTCATTTTCATTTAAGAGACAAACTGTGATGTTGTCCTTGTGCTGATGTGGGGCTGGTGAGACCTCAGGTGGAACTGCATGGAAGAAGTTAATTTCTGGGAATGAAGAACCCCAAGCAAAGTCTGAAGTTTGCATGAGGGAATTCTAAACATGCCAAACATGTTCAATCCCATTGGAAGGCAAAGCCTCACTGCTCCATAGCTGGGATGTGAAGCGTGACCACTGCCAAGGGCCTGGAGCAGACTGGGAAGTTTTTTGACATTTTGATTAAACTAGCAAGGATTTATCCAGAAGCTTGCTGGGCCCCCTTTGGCTTTGTCCAAACTCTGCAACACCAAAATTGGGAAGCAATTCCATGCTTCCCTAGGGTGTTCAGAACACTCCAGCTCCACATTTCTGTAGTGCAAGTTGCAGTATTCACTTAATTCTCACTTAAATGGCATTTCCATCTGCCTCCACTGGAGTGATGTGTTCCTGCTGCTGAACTGAACTGGGTGAGGGAAGTGTCCATCTTTAATTTAATCCCCAGCAAAAAGCTTGACATGGAAAAACTTGGAAGACAGGAGGCTGCTGCACAAATGGGAAGGATAGGCCTTATTTGGGAAGGTGGTCATGGCAAAATGGGAGTTTTATCATAGGAGATTCAGGAATCTCCTGACTTTGTCTATTTCTGAGGGTTCATCTTGACTTGTGCATAGTATCCTAAGAAATCCAGGGAGATCTAATGACAAGATTATTCCCAGAGGCAGATTGTGCCCTGCAGCTGGTACCAGGCAGGTACCACCTGACTACAGACCTGTTCAAGCTCTTCCAGTGTCACCACATCCAGGATATTGTATGGAACGTAACCAGCCTGGCCACTCCGGTTGAGCAACTTCCACCATTGCTTATTATCTTCCAACACCTGAGAGAGGGACAGAAATAAATCTGTTAGTGGGAACATGGGATTTCAGGCATAGAGAACCAGGATACAGTGGGGATGGACCACCCAGAAGGTGAAGTTGTCAGAAGGACATCACTGAGGCCAGGAGCTCTGATTAGATCTGCTCCTCTTAGATGTAATCCAGGATTGAAACTTTTCCTGGAAGGCATCAGAATTTATCATAAGGATGAAGAGGAGAGAACCTCTGGGTGCTGAAGAACTCAGTTGCTATGTAATGTCCCTGTTTCTCCAGATCTTTTTTTTCCAATGACTGAGTTTCTGGTGTATTTTTGTGTTAAAATAAATAAATAATTTTTTTAAAATTGACATTTTGCACAGAAACCTTTTCCCCGGGTCACAGATCAGTGTTGGCCCAAGTAATGTCCCACACTATCCAGCTGCAGGAAGAGAAAGGTTATGAAAAAGGTATTTTTCAGAGAAAGCAATTCCTCATGGAGGGGGAAGTGGTAATAAGGAGCACAGACCCAGCAGGGGATGAGCAGGGCAGGACAGGGAGTTGTTGTTGTCCTTCCCTCACCGTGGTTGGGATGGGACCGATGTGTCTGAGCTGAGGAGGGGACACAGCCCAGCACAGGCAGCCTGTGCCAGCCTGGATTGGAGCACAGCTCTGTGTCACTGTCACACATCACCAGGGACAAAGGAGCTGGTGCTGGCTGCCATCCTGAGCTCTGTGTCACTGTCACACACCACCAGGGACAAGGAGCTGGTGCTGGCTGCCATCCTGAGCCCTGTGTCATTGTCACACACCACCAGGGACAAGGAGCTGGTGCTGGCTGCCATCCTGAGCTCTCTGCTGCCCCTGGAAGGGGAGGGGACACACCTTTCCCAGGAGTGCTCACGTACCTCCAGGATTTCATCCTTCAGCACCGACAGCTCGTTGGCGTTTCGTGCAGTGAAATCGTAGCGGATTTTGGCAAATCTCCTGGGCACAGCCACTCCCTGGGCCTCAAAATTCCTGCAGGAGAGAAAAACTGGAGTTTTAGTGGAGGCCCATCCAATTGCAAGGCCAAGAAAATTGAAATTGGAGAAGAGAAATTGTCCTTTCCCTGTTCCACACTGCATCTCTACCACCTGATGTTCCTACCAGGACCAGTGATAGGGTAAATAAGAAAAAAAATTATTATTTTGCTGATATAATTGGGTTTAAGGTCTTTTGCTGTGGATTTAAATTCTTGTAGTAAAGCTCATAAATCTTTTAGATTAGAACAGAAAACCATGGAAAAACAGTCTGGCTTGAGGGTTTTTTTTCCCAGACTAGAGCTGGTGACAGAGAAATGGATGGTCAGCTGAAACCTTGACTCAAATCCCTGCAAAGTGATGTGTCAAGTCACGACAGAGGATTCATGTGGAAGTCTGGAAGAGTTTGGTGACACTCAAGAGATGTGACAATTTTCAAGGTGTGAGCTCATGTAAACAAGGAAGCAGATGGAGCCTCTAAACTCTGAACTAAAAGTACTTTGATGAAGGTTTTGTACCAAGGAGTAACTGGTGATGGAAAATGAGCATTGAAGCTGTTGAAAGGTGGAAGAGCCATCTTTCCCTTGGGAAAAAACCTGAGGCAAAAGAGTGGCCTGGTTGGTTCTGGGTTTGGAAGTGAACTTTCTGAGACTTCTGATGAAAGGGTTTTTCTCCATTTTCTAGAATTCTGTCTCATTAAGAAGAGTTGTCTGGACCTGGCACCTTGTCAGTTCCCTGAGGGAGAGGTGGGAAAGACTTGAATCTATTTTTTTATTCAGCCTCTAATCAGTGGGTTTGCCTTTGGTTGTGTCTAAAGCCAAGAGGGAGCTGCTGTCTCCAGTGAAACAAAGCTCCTTCCTCAGCTGGAATGTTTCCAGCAGCGCTGGGAGCTTGGGCCACTCTTCCCTGTGTTTCCAACAGGGCAAGGTTTGTGTGTGCCGTTCCCTTAGGGCAGATTCCCCCTGTAGGCAGCTTCTGTCTGCAGCCTGTGGTGGCTCTGGGATGAGTGGAGATCCTTAAGGGTGTCCAGAGGAGGCCAGGAAGGGCCAGGAAGTGCTCCAAGGGCTGGAGCATTACACAGACAGGCTGGGAGAGCTGGGAATGTTCAACCTGGAGAAGAGGAAGTTCCAGGGAGACCTTAGAGCCCTTTCCAGTGCCTAAAGAGGCTCCAAGAGAGCTGGAGAGGGACTTTGAGGAAGAGGCTGGAGTGACAAGACAAGGGGGAATGGCTTCCCAACTGCCAGAGGGTGAGTTTAGATGCATATTAGGAAGAAATTCTTCCCTGTGAGGGTGGGGAGGCCTGGCACAGATTGCCCAGAAAACATGGCTGCGCCATCCTAGGAAGTGTTCAAGGCCAAGTTGGACAGAGCTTGGAGCAACCTGGGATAGTGGAAGGTGTCCCTGGCCCTGGCAGGGGGTTGGAACTGTGTAATCTTTAAGGTCCTGTCCCACCCAATCCATTCTGTAATTCCATGATTCCAACGTCTCTACACATGTGGAGAGCCAAAGCACAGTGCAGCATCTTTGGCACCTGATCCTGAAGGTCACTTTGGTTGGGAAACAAAACCTATGGATGGGCTGATGAAGTCAGCCAATATTTTTGTCTCCTGTGGTGGAAGATCCTGGGATTCCTTTCCTTGCAGAGCTGCAGGGGGTTAAACAGCAGACAGTGCTCACAGGGATAATCCCTCAGCTGATCTTTATCTTCTCTTGAAGGTTATTAATAGTGATAGGGAGTCGTCTCCAGGATGCCCAAGTTTCCCAGTGTCACCATATGTGTCTGTGTGTGTCCATGAGGTTCCAAGGTAGGAGCTGAAGCTCCAGGGGTGCAGATCCATTACCTATTTC